TTTCATTTCATTTATTGTGTTGTTCATCATTATTTGTTTCATCTTTAGTTCTTCTAGGTCCTTGTTAAATGTTTCTTGCATTTTGTCTATTCTATTTCCAAGATTTTGGATCATCTTTACTATCATTATTCTGAATTCTTTTTCAGGTAGACTGCCTATTTCCTCTTCATTTGTTAGGTCTGGTGGGTGTTTACCTTGCTCCTTCATCTGCTGTGTGTATCTCTGTCTTCTCATTTTGCTTATCTTACTGTGTTTGGGGTCTCCTCTTTGCAGGCTGCAGGTTCATGGTTCCCATTGTTTTTGGTGTCTGTCCCCAGTGGCTAAGGTTGGTTCAGTGGGTTGTATAGGCTTCCTGGTAGAGGGAACTAGTGCCTGTGTTCTAGTGGATGAGGCTTGATCTTGTCTTTCTGATGGGCAGGTCCACGTCTGGTGGTGTGTTTTGGGGTGTCTGTGGACTTATTATGATTTTAGGCAGCCTCTCTGCTAATGGGTGGGGTTGTGTTCCTGTTTTGCTAGTTGTTTGGCATAGGTTGTCCAGTACTGTAGCTTGCTGGTCGTTGAGTGAAGCTGGGTGCTGGCGTTGAGATGGAGATCTCTGGGAGATTTTCGCCATTTGATATTATGTGGAGCTGGGAGGTCTCTTGTTGACCAGTGTCCTGAAGTTGGCTCTCCCACCTCAGAGGCACAGCACTGACTTCTGGCCGCAGCACCAAGAGCCTTTCATCCACACAGCTCAGAATAAAAGGGAGAAAAAGTAGAGAGCAAGAATTAGTAGAAGTAGGAAGAAAGAAAGGAAGGAAGGGAGGGAGGAAGGAAGGAAATAAGGAAGGAAGGAAGAAAGAAAGAAAGAAAAGGAAAGAAGGAAAGAAAGAAAGGAGGGAGGGAGGGATGGTGGGATAAAGGAAGGGGAGAAGGAAGGAAAAAAGAAAGAAAGAAGATAAAGTAAAATAAAATAAAGTAAAATATAATAAAGTTATTAAATTAAAAAGTAATTATTAAGAAAAGAATTAAAACAACGGACAGATCTATCTGGACAAATGGTGGAAGCAAAGCTATACAGACAAAATCTCACACAGAAGCATACACATACACACTCCCAAAAAGAGGAAAAGGGGAAAAAAATCATAAATCTTGCTCACAAAGTCCACCTCCTCAATTTGGGATGATTCGTTGTCTAAAGGAGGGAAGGAAGGAAGGAAAGAATGAAAGAAAGAAGATAAAGTAAAATAGTTATTAAATTTAATTATTAAGAAAAAAATTTTAAAAAAAAAACGGACGGATAGAACCCTAGGACAAATTGTGGAAGCAAAGCTATACAGACAAAATCTCACACAGAAGCATACACATACACACTCCCAAAAAGAGGAAAAGGGGAAAAAATCATAAATCTTGCTCTCAAGTCCACCTCCTCAATTTGGGATGATTCGTTGTCTATTCATGTATTCCACAGATTCAGGGTACATCAAGTTGATTGTGGAGCTTTAATCCGCTGCTTCTGAGGCTGCTGGGAGAGATTTCCCTTTCTCTTCTTTGTTCTCACAGCTCCCAGGGGCTCAGCTTTGGATTTGGCCCCGCCTCTGCGTGTAGGTCGCCAGAGGGCGTCTGTTTTTCCGCTCAGACAGGACGGGGTTAAAGGAGCCGTTGATTTGGGGGCTCTGGCACACTCAGGCCCAGGGGAGGGAGGGGCACGGAGTGTGGGGCGAGCCTGCGGCGGCAGAGGCCAGCGTGACATTCCAACAGCCTGAGGCGTGCCGTGCGTTCCTCTGGGGAAGTTGTCCCTGGATCCCGGGACCCTGGCAGTGGCGGGCTGCACAGGCTCCCCGGAAGTGAGGTGTGGATAGTGACCTGTGCTCGCACACAGGCTTCTGGCGGCAGCAGCAGCCTTAGCGCCTCCTGCCCGTCTCTGGGGTCCGCGCTTTTAGCCGTGGCTCGCGCCCGTCTCTGGAGCTCCTTTAAGCAGCGCTCTTAATCCCCTCTCCTCGAGCACCAGGAAACAAAGAGGGAAGAAAAAGTCTCTTGTCTCTTCGGCACCTCCAGCCCTTTTCCCGGACTCCCTCCCGGCTAGCCGTGGTGCACTAACCTCTTCAGGCTGTGTTCACTCCACCAACCCCAGTCCTCTCCCTGCGCTCCGACCGAAGCCCAAGCCTCAGCTCCCAGCCCCGCCCGCCCCGGCGGGTGAGCAGGCACCGATCCTCTGTGCGGGAATCTCCCCGCTTTGCCCCCCGCACCCCTGTTGCTGCGCTCTCTTCCGCGGCTCGGCTCCGAAGCTCCCCCCCCTCCGCCACCCGCAGTCTCCACCCGCGAAGGGGCTTCCTAGTGTGTGGAAACCTTTCCTCCTTCACAGCTCCCTCCCACTGGTGCAGGTCCCATCCCTATTCTTTTGTCTCTTTTTTCTTTTTTTCTTTTGCCCTACCCAGATACATGGGGAGTTTCTTGACTTTTGGGAGGTCTGAGGTCTTCTGCCAGCGTTCAGTAGGTGTTCTGTAGGAGTTGTTCCACGTGTAGATGTATTTCTGGTGTATCTGGGGGGAGGAAGGTGATCTCTGTCTTACTCTTCCGCTATCTTTCCCCGGAGGTGTATTTGCTTTTAAGGTCTTTCAAGTGAGTGGTGAGACCCACACATTATCAAGGATAGTCTCCTTTACTTAAAGTCAACTGGTTGTGGATGTTAGCCACATCTACAATATACCTTCACAGCAACACCTAGATTAGCGTTTGATTGACTAACTGCTTACCATAGTCTAGCCAAGTTGACACAAAATTAATCATCACAGATGCTAGGATTAGTGGGTCAAAGTATGATGAGAAGCAGGATATTTGTATAGTCTTGAGCTATCTTTATTAATTAGAAAGGGACTTCTTAGTAACTAAGAAAAACTAAGAGAAACTAAGCCGATACCACCTTGGCCGAGTGATCAAAATAAACATCACCAGTAATAAAACATATTGACATCACGTATGCCCTGACATTTTGTGCTGAGGAGGGCACAGCATCACTTCTTGCCAAACTGCAAGGCCTTAGTCTAATTATGGGAAAACATCAAACAAACTCAAATTGAGGGACATTTGATAAAGCAGTTGACTAGTACTCTTCAAAAGTGTCAAGGTCACACAAGAAAAATAGAGACTACAGAAGTGTCACAGTTTGGGGGAAACTAAGCAGATGTGACAACTAAATGAAATGTGAGATCTTGGATTGGATCCTGGAACAGAAAGAGAACATTAGTGAGAAAACTGACAAAAATCAAAGAAAGGCTGTAGATTCATTACTAATATTATGCCAGTGTTAATTTCTTGGTTTTAACCATTGTATTATGATTATGTAAGATGTTAACATTAGGGAACCTGGGTGAAAGCTGTACAGGAACTCTGTATTATTTTTATAGCTTTTCGGGAAGTCTGAAATTATCTCAAAATGAAAATTTACAGGGGAAAAAAACCTTCCCATGAATACTCTTCCTGCTAAAAGCCTACCCCATTAAAACCCAAACTTCTTATTCTGGCTGAGATCTGACTCCGCTGACCTCTCCAGCCTCATCTCTTTTCCCTCAGGTCTATCTCCCCACACACTCCAGGCCTTCCTTCCTGGCTCTTTTGGCAGTTTTGGCACCAACTCTGGCTGGAGGCTCTAGGAGTTTGGACTATTGGGATAGGACGAAGGTCCATGGCCCAGATGGGGGCAGCCCTGGGAAATGAGTGCCTGGGCTGTCAGTCCCAGGATGGGAATAGGAACTGGCTCATGTCAGACGTAGGATGGGAGCTGCATCCAAGATGCAGGATTAGCAGCAGTGGTCAGGTGAGTGAAGGCAAGCCCTTGAGGCAGGGGTAGCGGGCTATGTAGGCAGAGAGCCAGTGGTCAGGGGCACCAAGCTGGTTCCCACAGCTCTGTGCTGTTCTTCTGTGCAGTCCCGATCTTTGGTTTTTCCATCTCCTAGTCAACTTTCAACATACAAGATCTAGCTCATGCCCTAGGCTGGTAGGTCCCCGCTCTGGGCTTCACAGCACCCTTTACGTTATTGAGCTCCTTCGAATCCTCCGTTGTATCCTTCTCCATAGCCCCAGCTCCTGGCGCAAAGTAGATGCTCAGAAAAGGTCTGAATGGATGATTGTGGGTGAGAGCTGTGGCTCAGGGTAAGTTCAGCAACACTCAGTGTGGTAAGCTCTGTGCAGGCCTTGGGAATACTGAGATGAGTGAATCAAAGTCTGTGCTCTCATGGAGCTTCCACTCTAGAGGGCAAGACAGACAATAAACAAGCGAACAAATACAATAATTACAGATTACAATGAATAAACTAGTGATGAAGGAGAGAACAGATTCCAGAATGTGGTCATGATTTTTGTTAGGTGGGCTTACTAGTAAACCTCATATTCTTCTTTTTACTTAACATACATTTTCTAGTTCGTTCTACAGTGAGCATGTATTATTGGGTCTTTAAAAAATGCCAGCTGTCCTCTCACTTTCTTATCCTGAGCTCCTAATGCAACTTTTGCTGTATAATGATAGAATCCAGGGTAAGTTCTAGGAAGATGTAGCCCACTGAGTTGGTGTCACACAACGGGCTTTACCTTTACCCAAGAGATGACAAATGGGGCAATAAGTAGCTGGCTCAGGAAAAAATGATCACCACTGCTGAGGAGAGTCAGGGAAGGCTTCACAGAATAGGAAATACTTTATCTACAATCTTGAAGGAACAATTAGAGTTTGAAGGCAAAAATGTGGAGGAAGGAATTGGGCAAGTCATTCTACACTTTGAGTCTTAGCCTTTTTGTCTGTAAAATGGGGGCAGTAGCATGTCTTCACTGGGTTTGGGGTTGGGGGCCAATTAAATAAGACAGGTATATAGATGCTCCCCCTTCCCAGCTGCAGCACGGTATCTGGTGCATATTAGGTAATGAGGAGCTAATTTTTGTTTTAGTATTAAAGATAAACATTCTGTAAGTGCACAAGTTGTGGCTTTGGAGGAGTTTGCTCCTTGTCACTGTTCTGATCTTCTCAACAGGCCGAGGACACTGGTTAGTGGCTCGGAAATGTAGCCTCAAGAAGAAGCCCAGGGGTGTGGTTGAAGCACGAGCTGAAGGTCAGGAAAGCCAGAAGGTTTCTTTTGAGGTTGGAGGAAAGAAAGGGTCTCGACAGGAAAACCAAGTGGACACTCCGGGACACGTGCTGGACCAGGCTTTTCTGGTGAGAGTAAATGCATCCTGAAAGGCTGGCAGCACCAGCTGATGACTGTCTTGGTGGGGGGCAAGGACTTGCCCTGCTTCCCTCTGGTACAGTTACCCCCAATCCACCCCAAACTATTAGAGTGATCTTGGCAAATTGAGTATAGCCAGGATGATGAAGGGACCCAGAGCTCTCTTTATATGTAAAGCTTTCTTTACATCCACCTTATGAGATAGGTATTATCATCCCTATTATGTTGTTGCCATTGTGCAGATGAGAAAACTGAGGACCCAAGAAGTAATTTGCCTTGGCCAAGGTCCCTCAGCTACTAATTAGGACTCTGGTTTACCCAGGATTAGAACTACTCAGAATTAGAACTCTGGTCTACCGATTGCAAAGGCTGTGCCTTTATATTTTATCAGGTAAAAAGTCTTAATTGAGCCAGAGAGGCAAAGCAGTAGGTCAGGGGGAACAGCAAATTGAAAAATCGTATTCTAGCACCTAGTAGAGTATAAAGATTCCTGCTCTGCTCTGGGGAGATCTCTCTAGGAGCAGGGGGATTGGGGAGGCCCCACATACCACAACCTTTGTCCTTTGGGTTTAGTGTCTGGCTGAAAGCCAGGGATGCCGACTAGATATACCCAGTGTCTGGGGCAGGCTTTACAAAGGTCACTGGGGTGGCTGTGTTAGAGACCAGCCAGGTAATTTCACATCTGCTCTCTGCAACGCTGCAGTGGCTTTGCAAAGAAAGACACATTTTGTAAACCAATGTTCATATGCAGTCCAGTGCTCATAGCTCCCTAAGAAGAACTCCCTGGCAGCCTACTTTGTACCCAGGCTTTGCTTATGGTTCCCAAGAGATAGGTTTCTGCACAGATCAGATGCTGAAAGAGAGCTTCAAGGAGGCAGCTGGTTACATCTCCGCTCAAGGTGGATAGTATAAGCTTTTTGCAGAGTCCTGTGGAATTTCTTTGATTATTAGGTCCACTTCTCACTGGGAATGAGGAAGACTGAAGCAACAGTACTGAGGAGGGGCAGAAACACTTCCCATAGGACTCTTCTTTTCCCCTTTGTTTTCAACATGTACATCCCCCATTAATTGAGACAGCTTGTTACCCATGTTGCCACTTTGGATAGCAGAAGCATCAAGGATGTTTTTCAGAGTAATGGGGTACCTACCCGCCTATTGGATATGAACATTTCACTGGCACTTCATATTGACCTTCTACACCAGTCCCCTTACTCCAAGTCCCCGAAACACCTCTTTTCTAGTGTTCAATGCATGGTCTCAATGATGGTCTCAATACTATGTACCTAGTCACCAAGCAAGTAACTTGGGGTTATCCTTGGCACGTGCCTCTCCCTCACCACCCTCATCCCTGCCATTACCAAGCCCTGGTACTTTCATTAGTTGTCAAATCTGTATTCTTCTCTTCATCTGCCCTGCCACCACCCTAATCTCAGCTACCATCATCTTTTATTGGACTAATTCAGTAACTTCCTAACTATTACAGTTTGAACCAACTAGCATGCTTTTGTTTCACATGAAAAGAAGCCAGAGGCATTGTTATTCTAGGGTAGGTTAATTCATTGGTTTAATGACTTCTTCCAAGTCCCAGGTTCCTCCATCTCTCTGCTTTTCTATCCTTGGCACATTAGCTTGTCCTCTTGGGCTGATTGCCTTCATGATCCTGAGATGGCTGCTGAGCTCTGGTCATCGCATTTAAAGGATAATGTCCAGAGGTAGAAAAGGGATTGTCACTGTCTTATATCGAGTTTTAAAGGTAAGAACTTCCCAGAACTGGTGTCCCACCCCCAGCAGCCAGCGTCTCCTTGGCCAAACCTGTATCACAAATCCCAACAGTCAATGGTTAGGGGAACATGACCACCATGACTGGATTAGACAAAGTCAAGACTTAGCCTGTGGAGCTGGAGTTGAAGGATATATCCACTCAGAGAAATGTGAATGATATTGGGGTTCTTTAACAAGGAAGAAGTAGAGAAGTGGCTCTAGAGAAGCCAGTTAACAATGTCTAGTACAGTGGTCTCTCACCACCCTTTCCTGTCTTCTCATCCTTTCTGCGTGTGTCAGACATAGCAATTTTTATAAAATTTCTATTAGCCCCCTGCCAAAAAACCTCTGACAGATTTCCATTGACTATAGGATAAAATCCACGCTCCTTTACAGAGCCAACATGGACACAAATGATCTAATGACTGCCTCCCTAGCCTTACTTTGTTTTTCATCCTCTCAAAAGCACCTTGCTTTCACCTGCCTTGATAATTTTCATGACCCCTGCTACTCACTTTCATGGGACCAACTCCTACTCAGCACTTAGGTATCAGCTGAAATATTACTTCCTCAAGTGAGTATTTCCTCACTTCCACACTGAGGTTAGGACCTCCTGTTACTGTCTCCCATAGCATCTTGAATTTCTCCTTTAAAATATTATCACGTTTATAAATACTTGCTTGCTCCTTGGCTTCCATGCAGTTTTAAGCTTTCAGAAGGCATGGAATATTTCTGCTTCTTATACATTGTCTTTTAAATTCCTAGTTCCATGCCTAAACATAAAAGGTACCATAACTAAATGATTAACTGAAAAAAAGAATGGGGTTTGATTAAACAGAAATAGAAACTCCAAAGCTGAGATTTTCTTCTGACTTTTTAATTGTGAAGAGCAACGTATGGTAGTCCTAAGAGCATAGTGTTTAGTGATTACAGATTTGGATTCAAATCATAGATCTATCACTTACTAGCTGTGGGACCTTAAGGAAGTCACTTTATCTCTTTTAGCCTTGCTTTTCTCATTTATGAAGAGACATCATCATACTTATGTCAAAGAGTTCAGTTAGGATTAGGAGAAAGTTTGTTCCTAAGAACCACGTAAAGTCAATGTTGCCATCCCCACCTTACAGATGGGAAACAGAGGTGGGAGAGCTGAGGTGGCAGCTTGATTCTGAGCAGCTCCGAAGCCCGTGCTCTTTCCACTGTGCCAGGCTGCCCTCCTCAACAGGGAGTCATTTGTTGTCTTGGCCAATTACATAAGCTTTGTTGGGGCCTTGATGCTGATTGTCTGCACTGTGTTCCAGCTGAAGCACCACTGTGTAAAGAATCCGTCCGACCTATGCACCATTAACGTGAGCGGCCTGAAGTTCTCCAAGGTAAGGCCAGCCAGCAGAGGTGTGATTGGGGTGAGCCAGACCTGAGGTAGCTCCTGGCTGTTGGACCATTGTACTTCCAGAGTCCTTGGGGACTGGGAATCTGGTCATAGGGAGGGGGAGGGTCAGACAGGGACTCACTGGGTGGGAACAACATTCACAGACACAATCTTTTGCTATATATTTGGTGTTGCCATTATCCCATGTGAAGTGAGTTAAAGGAAATAAATAGCCTTATGGAAGTGGTTTGAATGTGCATAGAATTTTATTGGGGTGTGATTCATTGTATGACACTGAGTTCCCATCAAAAGAGCCTACAGGAGAAATGTCTCTCAGGTTTCAGTGCCAGGAGTGGTAGTGGTTCTCCCAAGATGCTGGTTTGTTCTCAACTCGCAGACTCTGTGACTTATGTAATGAGTCATGTTTCTTTCTTTGCACTGGCTAATAGGTAGCTTGGAGCTAGATTTGTGGCCTGCCATTAGCCAGTGTATTGCTGTTTACCACATATGGCATATATTTTCGGTTTGTAGGCTTTCCATGGCATATAAAGAGAGATTGCTTATATAATGCCACATAGCAGTTAAAATGTATCAACATAAGTAAATCTAAAAAGATCTATGTGTCTCAACACAAGTAAATCTCAAACACATAGTGTTGAGTGAAGAAGGCAGGTTGCAGAATGATATCTACAGTATGATGGCATTTGATATAAAGTTTTATAACATGTAAATGACACTGTATTTATGGTTTATGGATACACATACATGTAATACAAGTATAAAACAGGTATGGGAGTGATAATCGCCAATTCAGGGTAGCTGTTATCTGTGGGAAAGAGGGAGAAGAGTATGATTGGGGATGGATACGTTAGGGGGAGTGGTGGTGGTCAACTCTCTGTAGTGTTCTGTTTCTTTAAGGAGATTTGAAGCAAAGACAGCAAAATATTGGGATTTATTGAAGCTGGATAGTGGTTACTCGGGCCTTCAGAGTAACATTCACTATACTTTTATGAACATTTGAATTATTTCATAATAGAAAAAAAAGCAGAAAAGACCTTCCTGCCTTTAACAAGTTTCTGCTCTTGTTCTTACCCCTTGAGGTCTTTGCTCCTTCTGCCAGCAGCTCTGGAGCTTCAGCAAGGCCTGCAGGCAGGGAACTAATCTTGTGTTCTTTGAAATGCCTTCTCGCAGGCTAAGGAAAAGGACTTCAAGCATTTTAATTCTGTGATTTACATCAATGCCTCAGAAAACCTACTGCCTCTAGGTAAGTTTTCTTCCTGAAAACTACCTTCTGCCTCTTGGCTGTCACAGCCAGTCTCTCGTGTTAGAACTTGCCTGTCCACCTGTGACTGGCCACGCATCCCTTTTTTTGGAGTGCAGTAGGCTGGGTGAGGGAGAACACACAGACCTGATTCCAGTCCAGAGCTGGCACTGCCTACTCAGAACATTTCTCTGTGAGCTCCTGCTTCTCTAACTGTAAATGGAGATAATGCCCTTCCTTTTTTCCTCCCCAAGGCAGGATACCTTGTAGACTCAGATGAGATAAGTACAGTCAGCCCTCCATATCTGTGGATTCCACATCCACAGATTCAACCAAATATGGATGGAAAATATTTGAAAAAAAATTCCGGAAAGTTCCAAAAAGCAAAACTTGAGTTTGCCATGCACTGGCAACTACTTACGTAGCATATACATTGTATTTACAATTTACGGAGCATTTACATTATGTTAGGTATCATTGGTAACCTAGAGATGATTTAAAGTATACAGGAGGCTGGGCACAGGTTATATGCAAACACTGCATCATTTTATACAGGGGACTTGAGCATCCATGATTTTGGTGTCCATGGTGGTGATGCAGGATGGTGGTGGAGGTGGGCGTTAGGGTGGGAGCGGTGGACCCAATCCCCTGCAGATACCAAGGGACTGCATGTAAGAAATTGTGAAGTCCCTGAAAGCTCCTGTAGGACTGTAAAGCCTTCTTGTTTATTCAGCAGATCCACAGCGACCCCTGCTGGGTGTCAGGACTATATGACTGCTTGGCTTTTAGAAATCAGTGTGTCCAGTTCCTGTTCTGGTGAGCTCAGTTATAGCAGGGTATACGGTCAGTGCCATGATAGAGGGAATCAGAAAATCAGCCAGGCCATCAACCTGGCCTAGAGTGTCAGAGGAAACTTCTGAGAAGAAGAGTATGTAGGCTGAGACCTAAAACACGAATAGGAGTGACTCAAGAATTAGAAGGTGAGAAGGCATTTCAGGCCAATGGAGCAGTGATCAGGGGCCCTGAGGAAGCTTTGTATGTGTGCAGGGTATATAGGTAGGGGAGAATGGAGACTAGAAAGGTGGGCAAGGACTATATTATCAGGGGCCCTGGGTGACTTGGGCTTAATCCTGCAGGCAAAAGAGAGCCTTGGAAGGCTTTGAAATAGAGAGGCTCAGTGGTGGCTGTGAGGAGTGTGGATTATAAGATGGAAGCCAGGAAACCTGGAAGATGGTTTCATTTTTCCAGGAGAGAGGAGGTGAGGCCTCAACCAGGGCTGTGGCAGTAAGGGTGGAGGGGATTGAGAGAGATTCAAGAGGAGGTAGAAATAACCAGACTTGGTAACTAATGGGCATGTAGGGAAAGGGAGGAACCAAGAGGATTTACTGAGACAGACAGACTACAGGAGAGGCAGGTTTAGGGAGAAATAAGATGAATTAGTTTTGAATGCATTGAGGTTGAGGGGTGTTTTTAAAGAAGCATGTGTCGAAGTCCCTGCCCTTGAGGAAACAGCATGGTCTGTCAGGAGCATGGGCTTGAAAAACAGGCAACAGGCATATGAAAAGATGCTCATCCTCACTAGTAAATAAAATAGCATCCAAGTACTATTTTCTGCCTATCAAATATTGACAAAAATGAGAAGGACTGATGACTGCCAGCATTGGTAGGGAAATGGGTGCTCTCATAATCAAGTGTAATAAATTGGTGCAATATCTTTGGAAGGTAGTTTGGCGATGTCTCTTAACATCGTCTAGTAGTTCCACTCCCAGGAATTTATTCTACAGAAACACACTTGTACAAGGATGTTCATTGGAAACATCCCGAAAGCACATCTTTCTATTAGGCTCTACAGAACATTGCAACTCACAAAACCACCATAGGCCACACTTGACACCAGGTTCACTTAGAAGGCTCTGAGTAATTCCACACAGTATGCCAGCAGCACAGCGTCAGCAGTTCCTCTTCAGTGGAATCCTCACTGCTGTTCATGTAGCCATCCATGAGCCATTCTCTGTGGCCCTAGCTCAGGGCCAAAACAATGAAACTCTCATTGGGTGGATGCAGGAGCCACTCTGGCTTAGAAACCTTGTTCCCCGTGGGATCAGATAGCTGTTGTAACACTCCATAGACATGGCTCCCAGAGTTCCTGCAAAGGACATGTCCAGTTATAGGCATCACCACACACAGAGACGCCCAAAGTTATAGTGCCCCCTTGAGATCGTTATAGTTCATTTATAGTTTCTCCTAGTCCAGATGTGGTTTACTAACCTGGGGTCATTTTTACCATAGCAATATTGCCTAATAACACAGTGACCATACCATTTGTTTCATGTTACCAAGGGAAGAAGGCTAGAAAGTTAACCCAAGGTCCAGTTCTCAAGCAGAAGGGGAAGAGTGTTCTTAACCTTTTATCCAGATAGTCTAGCGACTATCACTAGGGGAATGGTTAACTAAAATAGGGTATGTCTATACAACAGAACATAATTCAGACATTATGCAGATCTATATGTTTTGACTTGGAACAATCTTTAAGTCATATTGTTAAGGGAAAAAAGCAAGTCACAGTACGTGTGTAGTATGAGTCCCTTTTTGTAAAAAGAAGTTTGTGTGTGTGTGTGTGTGTGTGTGTGTGTGTGTGTGTGTCAGTGTCAGTATACACATGAGAAAAGGTCTGGGGTATTGTACATGAAGCTTTGAATAGTTACCTCTAGGTGTTGAGATTAAAGGGAACGTTTATGTTTCTATGTTTTTTAAAGCTTTTTGGTGGGAATGTTTCACTCTTATAACCAGAAATAATAAAGATCATTTTTTAAATGGGCTTTGGAATTAGGCTTAGATTCAGTCCTTGGCCCTTCCACTTACCAGCAATTCTATTTCTAGCAAATCACTTAGCCTAGCTAAGCCTTGGTTTCTTCAGCAGTGGAATGGAAGTAGTAATCCCTATTTTTCAGGGTTTTTAGAGATTTAGTGTCCATGTATGTAAAGCACTTTACACAGTGTCTGGCCTAACGCAGTGGGAACCGAGTAAATGACCACCGTTAATATCTTTCTCTTACGTCCTTCACAAGCCACCGTTTCTCTCTTTCTCCTCCCCCTGTAGAGGCATTTCACACATTTCCAGTCTTAAAGGAACTGGAGCTCGCATTTAATGGCATCAAAACAGTCTACGTGAAGGATGGAGACTTTAAGTCCTTGGAAGTAAGTTGGAGGTAGGGAGTTTTTGGTGCCCACCTGTATCCCTGTAAGGAATGGGTGTAAGGAGTCTACTGATTAAAACTGTTGAGAAGGGGCTCTCTGGGCCTTTATAGCCACCTTGCTTCAGGGTGTTCCTCTGGGGCGGGTGGTGGAGTTGGTGGTGGTAATAAGGGAGTGGGGCTGGTGGAGGTGGTGGCCAGTGGGTGAGAATATATTATACTTATGGCCACGGGGCGTGGTCTTGGAAAATAAATGCCAAAGGTCATGTCCAAAGGAGTCTGTGCAGAGGAGTGATTTTGAATAGAGTACTGTAGGAAGGAGAATTTGAGGGGAGATCTGGATCCAGTGGGGGTTGAGCCATGGAGGTTAAGTGCTAGGCACAGCAAATTGGACCCGCTGAACTAGAGGCGTTATGGACCGATTCCAGAGACCCATCCTGGTATGAGTGAGCCAGATTGGTTCTAATGAGCTCGGATAAGGTTATGGGCCATAGGCCCAGGGATGAGTGTGAAATAAAGTAGGGCTGCTATAAGTTCTATAGCAGACTCTTGACATTTGTACATCCACAGCTGTTTTGTATTCACAAATACAAAAAACTTTGTTTGCACTCTTGGCTTTCTCCTAAATTAAATTTCCTATCGTCACGCATTTTCTATACATGTTCTCATACTTCAAGTTAATCACCTCTTCAACATCCATGAAAACTTTAGGATCATTTTTCGCAAAGAAACAAAGCTTTTGTCACCACCTGGGAGTCTGCATACATGGAGAGTAGAGAACAGTAGAGCTGGCTTGAGGTGTGGGGCGGGCATCTGGCCAGCCTCACACACTAAGTAATGGGCTCTTCCCCACCTGTTGGCCTTCTAGAAGAGCTTCAGAGTCACACCTCAGCAAAATGTCTCCATGTCATGAGCCTTGGGGTTTACCCCAAAGAGCTGGTAACTTAAATTATTTAATCTACAAACGTCAAGAATCGGCCATTCTTCATAAAAACCTCATTTAACCTGGTCTGGCCAGAGAGAGACCTTCCACAAAACTGAACTTTTAAGAGTTGATGCCCTTTACATGCCAAAGTTTTAAGAAGTTTTAGCCGCTTGGGATGGTAATCTTCCTAAAATGGATTATAAGTCCTTGCATTTTTAAAGCATGCTATACTGAATGTAATGGTACCTTTTCTCCGTGGTTTCCAGCCATATTGAGGATAACAGTGCTTTACTATGATTTCTGACAGGAGTGGTCCTCATGCTTATCCAGGAAGCAAAGCTCTTGAAGGTGCAATAATACAGGGAGAGGGAGAGAGTAAATTTACAACAACTGATGCAATTTTGTGCTAGGTTAAAAACCTAGCACAATACCAGAGTTTATTATAGACAGTGGGAAACTGGTTCCAGATGCTCTAGAGATACAGGGAGCCACTTCCCTCACCTACAGGCCTGGGAGCTTATTATAAGTTTCCATTAATTTTTTATTTTGCTTCTTATAAAAGTAGTTATTGAGCTTCTATATATCATGCATTGTGCCAGGCATCCTACCTTCCTCATCCTTACCATTTCAAACCCCTACTTCAAGTGCCAGTGGGCCACAGGGAGGGGACATGACTACAGGCTCTGACCCCACAGCTGACTTACTGGTTGATCATAATGGACTTTTGGGAGGCCCTACTTCATAGTTTGATAACAACTGATGAAGATTATTTATCCAGCAGACCAGCCCTACCCAAGGGAATTTATTTACATAAGAGAGCAGACCAAAGTCAAGATGCAGAACACAAATGAGAAGAGGAAATCTCCCGGCCAGTCATTTGTTTTCATCTCTCTGTGGTTTGAAAGGGTTCTCTAAGAAAAAGGATAAACCTGTCAAATGTCCTGAATTTGCAGCTCATGGCAGTGAATACTTTGATGTGTAATAAAACTTGATGTGACTCAGCAGATGCAGCATCCAAGTTAGGAATCTTCTGTCCTTGTTTGCCAGAAAGGCTGTCACCCAGAGTAGAACTCTTCAGGAGTCAGTTTAGGAAAACAGCTTTGTCATGATTTGATTCTCTGCATACGGGCCTGAAAAAGAGTCAGCTGGAGCTCTGCCCTGAAAGTCAGGAGACCTCGTTTCTAGTCTTGGTCTGCCACTACTTTGCCATACCTCCTCAGCCAAATAACTTACCTCTCTGGAACTTAAGTTTCCCCCTCTGTAAATTCTGGGCCAGCTGTGAAATTCTGCGACCTGCAGTTCTAAGACTATTCGTTTATTTGAGCTGCCCTTACTTCCATAGAGAGCAGATTTGGACCCGACATGAAATAGCCAAAGCAGCCAGAGCAAGGGTCAGCAAACTTTTTCGGTAGGAGGCCAGACGGTGAATATTCTAGACTTTGCGGTCCGTACAGTCATAACTAGTCATAACTGTCATAACTAGTCCACTCTGCTGTTGTAGAAGGAAAGCAGTTGTAGACAATATGTAAGCAAAGGGACAGGGCTGTGTTCCCATAAAACTTTATGATGCTGAAATTTGAATTTTACATAATTTTCATACAATGTTATTCTTTCTGTGCTTTTTTCCTAACCATTTAAAAATGTACAAAGCATTCTTAGCTCACAGGCCATACAAAACAGGCAGCAGGCTGGATTTGGCTTACAGGCCTTTGTTTGCCAATTTCTGAGCTAGAACACTGATGGAACAGCCCAGTATGGTTGGAATGGAGTGAGACACCATAGAGTGTGGTGATAGATGAGCCTGGCGAGGTAACGGAAGAGAGACTGTAGAGAGCCTTAGAGGGACTTTGAATCTTATCCTGTGGATAACAGGGGTCCATTGAAGGATTTGGAACTGAGGAGTAATAGGGTCTGAACTGTATTTTAGAAAAACCAGTGTGGCATGGCTGCTGTATAAAGCATGGATTGGAAGAAACAAGTATGAGAGATATTGAGGTAGAATCCATTGCTGACTGTCCACATATGTGTATGAAGGAGAGAATGATCCCCATCTTTATCTATGTTTATCCAAGCCAGCTTTCCAGGTCTTCATCCTTGAAGGCTTCTCTCTCTGCCCCTGCCAAGTGGGATCACCCATTTGTGTGAACTCTCAAAACTTGGAATTTACTGATGGCAGCATGAACTCGGCATTCCTTTTGTGCTGGGCATCTTTCATGGCCTGTGCAGTCCTATCAGGCCCTCTGTATACCATGGACTCTAGTCATACCCAAACCATTTGCAGTTCTCAGAATAAGGAAGGCTGCCTCCTGGCTTCTATACGTGCCACTTGCTGTGCTGTGTCTTTTTGCCCTTAACAATTTGGTGAATACCGACTAGTCTCTGAGGACAGCTTAAGCATCACCTGCTCCGTGAAGCCCGTCTGGACCCCCTGGTGGAGCTCAAACATCTATCCCAGCAGCATTGCTACTTAAACAGACACATATATGTATCTAGCTGCCCAACTAGGCTGTGAGCTCACACAGGGCAGGGACTGGTTCAAAGTAAGCCTTCAGTATAGGGGCCTTGAATGGAGGGATTGTGATGACCATGACAGCCAACATTAAGCATTTATGGTGCACTAGGCTTCATGCTAAAGGCTTTACCTACATAATTCCTCATAAAAATCCATTATTATTTCCACTTTATAGATAAGGAAACTTGGTTAAGTATTGATAATTTGCCCAAGATCACACAATTAGCCAGGACTTAAACCCAGGTCTACAGAGCCTGTCAATTAAGTACTAAAGTGGAGTACCAAACCCAGTCCTCCTCCAGCAATGACCTGCAGTCAGTTGTGTATGTGTGACTGACTGTATTTCACTGAAGTGGTGGACCAGAAACCTTGTCCCTGCACCAGTGAGATAAGATGCGGAAACTGGCCCCATTCAGTAGGCGTCTATGGGTGTGTGTTGGTGGAGGTATTACCGAGTACTGCTTGCCACACAGCAAGCCAATAAATTGAGAGATAAGGTGTTAGGGCAAGGAATAGCGACTTTATTTGGAAACTCAGCAGACCAAGAAGATGGTGGTCTAGTGTCCCAAAGAACCATCTTGCCTGAGTTAGAATTCAGGCTTCTTTTATACTAAAAGAGGAGGGAGTGAAGTCTAACATTTCCTGGTTCTGGTCAGCCTCCGGAGGGGATGTGTTAATTTCTTCCTTCCTGCAGTCATTCACAGGTGGGCCTGGTCAGGATGTTTCCTGTGAGATAAAGGTATTTTAGCTTAATGCTCATTACCTGGGAGGTGGGGTTCCCACAGATGGGCCATTACGTATAATTTAAGCTTATAGGCAACATTCCTTTAGTGATTAACTTGTGATAGAGTACAAAGGTTCTTCCCTATTACAGAGGGAGAGGGAAGGGAGCAGACTTGTACATAAGAGCTAAAGTGAGTGTCCAGAGAGGCTCTTCTAGAAGAGGGAGACCAGAGACTGGGGTGATATAATTTATCACAGTTGCCTTTGTCTTTGCAGAGAGAAACTCAGTTTCCTGACTGGTCTCCTAACTCAAGTCAACTATCTCATGAATCTAGATGGCTAGTTAGAAAGTGCTTTATGATGAGGTGTCAGTTTGGGTCATTGTCCTAATAAGCCAGTTCATTTCAGCTGGTTTTTTAATGTGCATCTACTATGTGCCAGGTACTATGCTAGATTATAAGGATACATCGATACAGTGACAAGGTGCTTCACCTCAGAGAGTTTATAGCCTAGTCCACCACTGTGTGCCAGCACCTGCTCAGCACATCCATGTACCAGTACCTTATTCCTCAGGCTTATGTCCAGTTATCACAGTTACCTGGCTGACTGTGAGCAGTAACCTCAGAACAGTCTAGCTAAAGCACTCAAAGTCAGGAGGGAGAGATTCCATCTGGCTGGGGAATTAAGAAAGGTTTTATAAGGAGGCAGCTTTTGAACTGGCCTTTTAGGACTTGGATTCAGATACATGGAGAAAGGGCATTCCTGAGTGAAAAGCTCAAGCAAAGATCTCTACATGGGGTGTGGCAAGGAATGGGGAGCAGTCACTTTGGCCAGCACCATGGGGTAAACAAAGGCTTGCAGTATGGGGGCTGAGGCTGGCAAATAGGTTGGACATAGTAGAATGACTCTAGTAGACCTTGAAAGTTAATCCTGAGAGTCAGGAGGGTTTTAGCCTGTGGGCGATGGGCCCTCCTGGAAGGTTAAAAAAAAAAAAAAAAAATCCAGCTCCCACCTCATGTATGAGCATCATTGTCACGAGTAGTGCTTCTATTTCCCCATCTTATATCTTTGTGCCATAGTTCCTGGACCTTTCCTTCAACAACCTCACTGCGGAGGCCATCTGTGATCTGGGGCTTCTGCCACACCTCCGTGTCCTGCTCCTCACAGGCAATGGGCTCACCTCCCTGCCACCCAATTTGGCTGTCGCAGAGCGGTAAGTTCTACATCCCAGAGTCTGTCCCATGTGTTTCCCTCCTGAGCCTTTGTCTGGGTACATGTGTCCAAAGAAATAGTCCAAAGCAGCTCAAAAGGTCTGTAAGGACAGGCTGTGAGTGCTCAAAGCAGGTAGAATGCCACCTACTGAAGCTCCCAGAAAAGGGACTGGTGGGAACAGAGCCCCAAAGATTCGGGAGGCCTCAGCTGGGTGTCCCACACTCCTCTGTGCTATTAGGAGAGACGCCGGTGTCCGGAGAGTCACTTTCCCTCCCTCTGATCGGTCACTGGTAAGTTGTGGCTATTGCTCTTGCCAGACTATTCCCCTTCAGGAACCCTCTAAATAAGATGTGCATATTCCCATTCTGCACATTTGCTGAGCCATGACTTCTGGCCAGAATGTACTGGTCTTTCCTCGCTTAATAATAGCAATGAGTCTGTCATACAGAGTGAAGTAAGTCAGAAAGAGAAAAACAAATACCGTATGCTAACACATATATATGGAATCTAAAAAAAAAAAATGGTTCTGAGGGGGAAGGGTAAGCTGGGATGAAGAGAGAGAGTGGCATGGACATATATAACAAAATATAAAATACCAAATACAAAATAGATAACTAGTGGGAAGCAGCCACATAGCACAGGGAGATCAGCTCAGTGCTTTGTGTCCACCTAGAGAGGTGGGGTGGAGTGGGGGAGGGAGACGCAATAGTGAGGGGATATGGGGATGTATGTATGTATGTAAGAAAATGGTCACAGGAACATACATATCGATAATTACCTTAAACGTGAATGGATTAAATGCTCCAACCAAAAGACACAGGCTTGCTGAATGGATACAAAAACAAGACCCATATATATGCTGTCTACAAAAGACCCACTTCAGACCTAGGGACACATACAAACTGAAAGTGAGGGGATAGAAAAAGATATTCCATGCAAATGGAAATCAAAAGAAAGCTGGAGTAGCAATACTCATATCAGATAAAATAGACTTTAAAGAATGTTACAAGAGACAAGGAAGGACACTACATAATCATCAAGGGATCAATCTAAGAAGAAGATATAACAATTATAAATATATATGCACCCAACATAGGAGCACCTCAATACATAAGGCAACTGCTAACAGCTATAAAAGAGGAAATCAACAGTAACACAATAATAGTGGGGGACTTTAACACCTCACTTACACCAATGGACGGATCCTCCAAAATGAAAATAAATAAGGAAACAGAAGCTTTAAATGACACAATAGACCAGATAGATTTAATTGATATTTATAGGACATTCCATCCAAAAACAGCAGATTACACTTTCTTGTCAAGTGCGCACAGAACATTCTCCAGGATAGATCACATCTTGGGTCACAAATCAAGCCTCAGTAAATTTAAGAAAATTGAAATCATATCAAGCATCTTTTCTGACCACAACTCTATGAGATTAGAAATGGATTACAGGGGGAAAAAAGGTAAAAAACACAAACATGGAGGCTAAACAATACGTTACTACATAACCAAGAGATCACTGAAGAAATCAAAGAGGAAATCAAAAAATAGAGACAAATGACAATGAAAACATGATGATCCAAAACCTATGGGATGCAGCAAAAGCAGTTCTAAGAGGGAAGTTTATAGCTATACAACCCTACCTCAAGAAACAAGAAAAATCTCAAATAAACAATCTAACCTTACACCTAAAGGAACTAGAGAAAGTAGAACAAACAAAACCCAAAGTTAACAGAAGGAAAGAAATCATAAAGAGCAGAGCAGAAATAAATGAAATAGAAACAAAGAAAACAATAGCAAAAATCAATAAAACTAAAAGCTTGTTCTTTGAGAAGATAAACAAAATTGATTAACCATTAGCCAGACTCATCAAGAAAAAGAGGGAGAGGACGCAAATCAATAAAATTAGAAATGAAAGAGGAGAAGTTACAACAGACACGGCAGAAATACAAAGCATCCTAAGAGACAACTACAAGCAACTCTATACCAACAAAATGACAACCTGGAAGAAATGGACAAATTCTTAGAAAGGTATAACCTTCTAAGACTGAACGAGGAAGAAATAGGAAATATGAACAGACCAATCACAAGTAATGAAATTGAAACTGTGATTAAAAATCTTCCAACAAAAGTCCAGGACCAGATGTCTTCACAGGTGAATTCTATCAAACATTTAGAGAAGAGCTAACACCCATCCATCTCAAACTCTTCCAAGAAATTACAGAGGAAGGAACACTCCCAAACTCATTCTATGAGGCCATGATCACCCTGATACCAAAACCAGACAAAGAGACTACAAAAATAGAAAATTACAGACCAATATCACTGATGAATATAGATGCAAAAATCCTCAACAAAATGCCAGCAAACAGAATCCAACAACACATTAAAAGGATCATACACTGTGATCAAGTGGGATTTATCCCAGGGATGCAAGGATTCTTCAATATACGAAAATCAATCAATGTGATACACCATATTAACAAATTGAAGAATAAAAACCATATGAGCATCTCAATAGATGCAGTAAAAGCTTTTGACATAATTCAACACTCCAGAAAGTGGGCATAGAGGGATAAAAACTCTCCAGAAAGTGGGCATAGAGGGAACCTACGTCAACATAATAAAGGCCCTATACGACAAACCCACAGCAAACATCATTCTCAATGTTGAAAAACTGAAAGCATTTCGTCTAAGATCAGGAACAAGACAAGGATGTCCACTCTCGCCACGCTTATTCAACATAGTTTTGGAAGTCCTAGCCACGGCAATCAGAGAAGAAAAAGAAATAAAAGGAATACAAATTGGAAAAGAAGAAGTAAAACTGTCACTGTTTGCAGATGACACGGTACTATACATAGAGAATCCTAAAGATGCCGCCAGAAAACTACTAGAGCTAATCAATGAATTTGGTAAAGTTGCAGGATACAAAATTAATGGACAGAAATCTCTTGCATTCCTATATACTAATGATGAACAATCTGAAAGAGATATTAAGGAAACACTCCCATTTACCATTGCAACAAAAAGAATAAAATACCTAGGAATAAATCTACCTAGGGAGACAAAAGACCTGTTTGCAGAAAACTATAAGATACTGATGAAAGAAATTAAAGATGATAAAAAAAAGAACACCAGATAATTCCCTGGATTCCAAACATATTCCTTTTTGCCCTCAAGGTATAGCAGCCGTCATACCTATTGTTGATAGTCAATATCAGTCACCTAGCCAATATCATAAACCCCTGTTTTCCTGCCTGTTGATTCAGTGGAATGAGCAGCCCAAGTGGCCAGTAGTGAACTTAATTTCTAGTTAAGTGGAACTATTCTTGTGTCCCCTGTAAAAGTATTCCTCCCTAGGAAACTAAAACCTCTAACTCAAGAGCTCAAAGCTGCAGGAATTACAAGCTGCAAGTGGATTGTTGTGTATAATTATAAGAGGAGCTGCTTTCATTTTCATTCATTCATTCCTAGGACCTTATGCTCTGGTTGTGAGAAAAACAGCATCAGTCTTGGTTGCTAGTTTGTGTGACACTCCATCCTGTAAGTCCACACCCAAACCTCACAGTGGGTAGTTTGCTAGCTAGTGCAATAAATAAGTTGTCAAAAGACTATCGTGACATTCTATTAGGTCAGCTACTTCTGCGTGATGGAGTATATGGTAAAAAATTAAACTCCATGTATGTGAGCCCATTCTTGTACTTCTTTGCCATGAATTGTGTTCCATGGTTAGAAGCAATGTTATATGCACTACCAGAATAATGAATAAGACATTCTTGAAGTCCACAGATTGTGATGCTGGCAGAACATTGTGGTCAGGGATGGAAAATCCATATCTCAAATACATATTTATTTCAGTAAGAAAAAAAATCACTGCCCTTTTTATGAAGGCAGGTGTGCACTGTAGTCATCCTCCTACTGGGTGACTGGCTAATCCTCCCAGAAATGGTGCCATGTTAGGGGCTCAGCATTGGCCTCTGCGGGTGCTCGGCAGGGGTGGTAGGCAGATGTGCTTTGTTGAGGGTGAGTGTGTAGCCTCCTTCCCTGCTGCCAAGGCCATTTTGCAAGCACCAGGGTATCCAGCTGACATTCATGGAATGGGTCATCTTGTCCACCTGATCACTGAGAGTCTCCTCTGCAGTGGAAGTCTTTGGGAGCATTCACATGGGATAGAAATAGTCCTTACACATCCTTTTCATCCTGAGAGGTCTGTTCACATGATTTCCCCTCAGACCTCCCTGTCAGCAGTTTTACATTATTTTTTCCAAACTTTGACTCTTCACTAAACCACTGCCCATGAATCAGCATAGACCTGTACTTCTGGCTATCTCGCCAACCAAGGAAAATGAACAATCGGATATGTTGCTCTAGGTTTTACATATTAGGAGGATTTCTCCTCCCCTGTCTTTCAGAGCCACCTTTGTATGGAGTTATAATCCTTCAACAGTCTGGTTTTGGTTAGTATCAGCATATCATGCAAAATCATTTGTAAACCTAGCTGCAGATTTTTCTCCTATACCCAGTGGTCATAGGACGTTTGTTATGGGTTGATGGAGAAGTAACAGTACAGCAGGAGTAGGTATCACAGGAGTCTAAGCAATATTAGTTCATGCAACTTTTCCAGGTTTGCTTGAGCCTGATCTCCAATGTTGCTTTCATTTGATGAGGGAGTTCTGCACATTCAGTTCATGTTGAACAGCTCAGGAGGCATGGTCGCCTTGGTGTCCCATGGTCAGGTGTTCAGTCTCTACCAACATGCAGTAGTAAGCCAGAAACTGTTTTTCATAAGGAAAATAGTTGTCTGCAGAATAGAGCATAACTTTGCTCAAAAATGTTTCTGTAATTGGTGCCTTTAAAAGGCTCTATTCATAGAATGAGCAACCATTAATTTATCATCCAAACCAAGACATAGTTGAGGGGGAAAAGTACCACTATTAATTATTTTGGGATAACAGGTGAAAACTCAGACTGTCCTTGAAAACCAGGATGTATGGTA